GTCGTAGGTGGGGAAAAGTGATAACTGCAGTTGAATATTTTATTGTTTCAAATATCCACGATTCTTTAGCACATATAAAACATGTAGTCATGTACCCTGGAGAGAGGCAGACAAAATGTCATTTATTAAATTATAATATGCTTCCTTGAATGAAAAAGGTGATTGTTATACGTAAATCCTGTTCTTAAATGTTATGAAGAAAACTTAAGAAACTTTAATCTTGTTGTCTTTAAGAGTATCATCAACTTATTGCCTTTAAGAGAAGGGTATAAACAACTTTTTGTCCGTGAAGATAACTTGTTGTCGTTAAAAGAAAGGTGTGATAACTTTTTGTATTTAAAGGATGTCATCAACTTGCTGCCATTATGATAAGACTTAATCATTATTCAGTAAATCATCCTATGCCATATTATCGTCACTAAATAATAAAAAAATAGATATTTTGCTGTCTAATTATTTTCCTCCCAAGCATTTCTCTAAAGCGACTTAAATGTTTTACAGTTTATTTGAGCTGTAAAAAAATATGTTTTTTAATAACAAAGGTAACTTGCGGTTAGCCGTGCGAGCTATAAATAAACATATACAAATGGATAAACATACCGATTAATTACATATTCTGGTACATAAAGGGTAGGTAGTTAGATAAACATATGTATTCATCATCTGTATCATGTTTTGTTGAAAGTAACGTACCTGAAACTTTGACATGCTTGACAGTTTTATGTGAATAGTTTTGTACGAGGACATTCAAGTTGATTTCTTCCCCATGATAATAGAGCTAGAGAAAAATAATGGGTTCTATTTTAGGAATATAAATGATCTACTTACAAATATGACTGTTTCTATGAAGTAAATCGGCAAAAACTGCTGAGAATCTGAGATACTAAAGTGCTGAAAACGTTAACACTTATTACCATATAAAAGTATATCATAATTATATATATATATATATATATATATAATTAAACAAAAATCAGTTAAGTAAGGATTGAATCTTCTGAGAAAATAATGGACTATAGAACGACTTTTATAAATTATTAGGATTTTAAGCAAGTTTAACATATAGTATTTTAAATAAATATCGTTTTCTACTGAGTTATAAATAAACTCAAAGGGCGTTCAACTGTACATGTTTACTCTTCGTAGTGTATTACAAGATATTTTTAAGCTATTAACTGAAAGACATATATTATACGAGTTATTTTTGAAATGCTTAATATTAAAGCAAAACTCACATTACACGATTTAAAACTAATATAATCAATTTCTCAGAAAACCCACCAAACATCAATCTGATACGTATTTTCCAAACTGTTATTGAAATTTTCTTCGTGCGCCACTAAGAAAGAAAGTTCTAAAATTACTTTTTTATCCAGTGTAGCTTCAAGGAAAATCTTTCCTGAACTAAGAGGAAAGTCTTTGTAGGTCGACCCAGATGGTTGTCCAATCAATGGCCACAAAGGAGCGTATTGGATCTTTCTTATGGCCAAGTTTACCAGATTTCTAGATCATAATAAAATAGCTTAACTGATTATTGAAAACTAAAGCAGTATTCAGATGTCATGGAAAACAATAATTCTATATAAATATAAACACTCCGAAAGAGCTGTCAGAGATTTTGAAATATAACTTTAGTTTGTAATATATTTCTGCAGATAAGATATGTATAAACATTTTCATCAACGTCATAATTTAGCAAGGGATATGTTCAGTGTAATTAGAAATCTAAACGAAATAAAAATTAAATAATCACCCAAAATAAGAAAAAATTCTTCCACTCACGAAATTACTACATTACAACGCTAGAAACCGGATTTCGATACCTGTGGTGGGCAGAGCACAGATAGCCTATTGTGTAGCTTTGTGCTTAACTACAAACAAACTCAAATCTAAGAACAACAAAAAGATATTGAAACCCTTGTGAATTAAACGATTATCGTAGGTACAGTGCTAGTGTGTGTATGTGAGGGGAGCAAAGGAAATATTTCTCTCTAGCGGTCATCAAGGGGCCCCATATTCTAACTACAAACAAAGTCAAATCTAAGAACAACAAAAAGATATTGAAACCCTTGTGAATTAAACGATTATCGTAGGTACAGTGCTAGTGTGTGTATGTGAGGGGAGCAAAGGAAATATTTATCTCTAGTGGTCATCAAGGGGCCCCATATTCTAGCCAATAATCACACACAAAACTACAAAAATATCCAGTGTTAAGTGGTGGAAAATGCGGTTGTGTATTTCCATCTACGTCTGCTGAGTTATTTGAATAAATGGCAAGTGATCCGATGTTTAAAATATCAACATATCCAGGGGCTCCAAAATACCCTCTTGTTTCCCTCTTCTTCAAACAGTGAGATCCTAGAACCTTTCCTGAAGTCCCTCCGGTGACTCAGCGGTAAGTCAGAAGGCTTATAAGGCCAAAAATAGGGTTTTGATATTCACGGTGGGCACAACACAGACAGCTCATTCTGTAGTTTTGCGCTTAACAACAAACAAACCGTCCCTGAATTACTGCGAGCTGAGCCTGCACGGAATCCAAAGAGATTGAATGACTGGTCTAAGAATTACTAGAATTTTCTTTAAGAATTTATTTCAACTAGTTTAGGGAAAATGTTTTTTCTACATGGAACTTAGATCAAGACAAAACCTGAATCATCGTTTTATTTTTAACATAGAACAAGAAAAGTGAATATTAGTGGAGTTAAGTCTTTTGTGAATTGTATTTGCTTTGAAGTAGAGGTGACACGACTTTTCAGACTCTACGCTGACCTCATGAAAGCCTTAGCTTAGAGACCGAAACGTCGCTCACTTATACATTCAAGACATATTCTCCTTTGTTTGAATCAAAAATTTCCGATTTAAATATTTTATGTTGTGTATTATACGATATTTATTTAAGATAGAGATGCTTTTCATAGGATGTACTACGCTTAAGTGCTTTGACAGAAAGACGATCATATCGAAATATGCGACGTTAACAAGTATTGCAGAACATCGCACCTTCGATGAAAACATGACTTTAAACAAATAGTGATGACTGATAATGCCAGAAACGTAAAGTCTTTCGGAAAAAGATATATTTTGCTCTCGCTTTTTCGACCCACGGTGGGTAAGCTGTATTATGAAGGACTTACAAGGCTAAAATGAGGGTTTCGATTCCCCGCGGTAAACACAACGCAGATGGTCCTTTGTGTAACTTTTTGCTGTAACAACAACTCTCTCTCTCTTTATATATATCCGAGGGTCACGGGTTCGAATTCCACCAAACATGCTCGCCCTTTCAGCCGTGGGGGCGTTATAATGTGACGGTCAATCCCACTATTCGTTGGTAAAAGAGTAGTCCAAGAGTTGGTGGTGGGTGGTGATGACTAGCTGCCTTCCCTCTAGTCTTACACTGCTAAATTAGGGACGGCTAGCGCAGAAAACCCTCGTGTAGCTTTGCGCGAAATTCAAAACAAACAAACAAAATTATATATATATATATGTATGTATGTATATATTTCACAATTATCTGTATTACATTAAAAGCATTTACTCAGCTTCACATAACCCTGACGAGATAATTATGTAAAAATACGACGTTTTTATTATACTTGTATGCATTAACAAATATATCATTGTTCCAGCAAAGCTGTAACAAAACTATAAAATTATAAAAGACGATTCCATAGTCTATAGTCGATTGCGGGCATAATAGCTACCCTAAAAACATAAAAATAGAAATCTGGTATCATCAAACATTCTTGACTTCTGTAAATATATCATCACCCAACTTCCACCCTTCAAAATAATTGAAATTGAAAACTTATATCCTATACCACCCTTTATTGCTATCACATAACATTAACAATCTTCCACCTTTGTCTAATTGGTATCTGATATTAGTATATGATATTAAATTAAGAACTATATAGCCTTCCTGTACAGTTAAAATAGCAATACTGATACAGCCTTCCTCCTCCCTTAAGTCTATTAAATATAAATATAGGTATATATAGCTAGCCATAGTTCTAATAATACAAGTTGTCATAAACTATAAACCCGCTTTTATAGTTCTGGTACCCCTACCTCCTCCCTTAGCAAGAACTTAATATTTCAAGCAAATCTGTGTAAATTGAGCTAATTATCTGAAGTCAGGCTTCCCACCCTAGAGTGAAAGTTTTATTACATGTATTGCTAATTTTATATTAAAAATTTATATGTACAAGCATTCTCTAAAAAAATAATATTTCAAGTTAAAAATAATTGCATTCAGATTGTCTGTAAAGAATTTACTTTTTAAGTAGTTATAAAATTTATAATAAAATCTTTTAGAGACTTTACTAATTTCAAAATTATTTTAGCTAAAATTTGTCTTGCAGAATCTTCAATCTTCAACAATTTGAGAAATATTAATACAGACAGTGAACTATATACATACATATATATGTATGTACATATATATATATATATATATATACTAGCTGAGTTACCCGGCGTTGCACGGTGAACATTTAGATTTGAAATGTATAGATCAGTATTTTTTTTAGCAAATTATTCAGTAACTAGACAAAAGCTGTGATGCGAGAAATAAAAAGTATTTAATCAAACAAAGCTTTATTTGACATTAGATCGTGTTCAAGCTTGTCTTGTTCTTTGAGCCTGAAGTCGTACATCATGTTGCTCCTCTGTTTCTAGCTCTCTGTAAGTTATTTGTCTTAATTTTTGTGCTTGAAGTCTGGTTTTACGTTGTTCAGAAGCTTATTGTTGTCTATATCCAGCTTGCTTTGATGATTCTGACTGAACTGCTTGCATTCTTTTAGCGGCAGAAGATTTTCCATAGAAAGGGCGTTTCTTGGGTGGCATAATCACCTGTATCACTAAACAATAATTTGCAATTCATAGAATTACTAAATCACTTATGAAACCACTTAGCACTATTTAAAGAAAACTGTATTTTGGAAATACTGAATTGACAGCAAGGTGATCTGAGTGTCTTCCACCATAACGCTTTCTATGTGCAAAACGTACTTACGTTTGTATGTTTATTACAAAAAAAATATTACAAAAAATGGCACAATAATCATTAATTGTCAATTTCGTCATTAAATACTACACCAAATACAAAATAAATAGCACCATTAAATTTCTTGTAAAAACTGGTTGAAGTTATTTTAAAATTTGTAAGTTCAACCGTTTGGTTTCCTATAGCGAACAAAATAAACAAATAAACAAACTTCCTCTTTTATATACATAGATATAACTTGCAATGTCATGTCACTTACTTTTGATGTCAACAACAGTTTCACACATATGTAATTAGTTTGCTTTGATCATAAAATATTGGTAATAATATGTCATTGTGACACGCCTTACCCGTATTATATCTAAGGCGTGACTTCACTTCTTTAATCTATAAGAAACGCCATCTATACCTATCACTGTTAGATTTTGCTAGTGAGTAACCCATTTACTTTCCTCCGCGAGTAACGGAATGTTTATGGAAGTTTGCGCAAAACTACATCAGAATCATTTGCACAAGCTGTTCCTAAGTTTGGAGCGATATACTAGAGAAAAGGTAGCTAGTCAACAGCGCCCACCATCAACTCTTGGGCTACTCTTGTCAGACCGGATACTGGAATTTGACCATCACACTTATAACGCACTCATGGCTCCAAAGTGCGACGCGATATTTTTTTCATTTGGTCATAATGGGACACGAACCACATAACCTCATATCCCCCACTCCATCTGGCAAAAATTAAATAAACAGATAAACAACACACACACATGTTTAATCGTCACTTTAGACAAAAACAAAACAACTGTGATCGGATATGCGAGTGCTGATTGCAGTCATCCTATTCATTACTTGTTTGTTTGTTATGGATTTCGCGCAATGCTACACGAGGGCTATCTGCGCTAGCCGTCCCTAATTTAGTAGTGTAAGACTAGAGAGAAGGCAGCTAGTCATCACCACCCACCACCAACTCTTGGGCTACTCTTTTACCAACGAATAGTGGGATTAACTGTCACTTTATAACGCCCCCACGGCTGAAAGAGCGTGCATGTTTGGTGTGACGGGGATTCGAACCCGCGACACACAGATTGCAAGTCGAGCGCCATAACCATCTGGCCATGCCCCTATTCATTGCAGTAAATAATTTTTGCGGTAACTATTTTCCTGAATATTCTCACTGACCCCAAGACACGTTCCGCCCCCAGGTTTGAGAACCATTGTTCTAACTTATCAATCACAGAAGCTACTTCTTGTAGGTGGCTTTAGAAACTTTCATCACATGGTCAGTTAAAAAGTATTTCCAATGCAAACTCATATGCGGTAATAATTCAGTGAAAAACATAAATAAAATTCAGAATCTGGGACTTAAGGAATATTTTTTAAGGCAACACTTATTTAATATAAAGAATCTCGATCGAAGTAAAAAACAAAGAAATGTAATAATAAAACTTGCCATAGGTGACGCTAGTTTGATATGCGTTTAAACCTTATGTGTGCTTCCTTCATAACATATGCGGGTGTGGCATGACCTAGGTGGCTAGGGAGTTCGACTCGCAATCTGTGGGTCGCGGGTTCAAATCCCCGTCCCACTAAACATGATCGCCCTTTCAGCCATGGGGGCGTTATATGTGACGATCAATCCCACTATTGGTTGGTAGAAGAGTAACCCTCTAGTCTTACACTGCTAAATTAGGGACGGCTAGCTCATATAACCCTCGTGTTGATTTGCGCGAAATTCAAAACAAACAAACTAATATATGTTTTTAGAGACGTTTAATCTAATAATATTTTACATAGACTTACTTTCATTAAATCTATAAATTACTTACGATGAATCTACTTTAAGCAACTTCGTTAGCCTTTTGACAGTCTCTAGAAAAACAATGATTTATTGTTTGTTTATTTCGGATATTTGTGCAAAGTTACATTAGAGCGATCTGCGCTAGCCCTACCTAATTTTCAACTGTTAGTGAACAGCGCTCTGTTAGATTTGACCGTCACTCTTATAACGCACCCGCGGCCCATAGTGCGATTTTTATTTTGTTTTTTGCCATGGTGGCCCTGCCATAAGTCTAAGGGTTTATAACACTAAAAATTGTTTTTCGGCACTCGCGGTGGGCACAACAGAGATAGTCCATTGTGTAGCTTTGCGCTTAACAACAAAGAAACATTTTTTTTTTTTTTGCAGTAACAGGACGCAAATCATGGACCTCCTGATTCACAACCTGTAACGTTAAGCACTTGTCCAAACGCGTCCATAAAAAGATAAAAGAAAATGTTTTGTTACAACTTATTTCTTAATAATGATAAGTTAAAATAGTATTATCAGCTTTCTTTTCAATTTACTGATGACAGAATAACTTAGGTATCCGAGTTTTTTGTGTGATTGCAAAGTCACAGCGCTGCTAACAAAACCAAATTTATATATATACATTGCAGGTGTCATTGTAACACAAACTAAACTCGAATATTCCTTTATGTGTGTGTGTGTATATATAACTCTACGAGCACGTGCAGTTAAATGGTACAAAGAAAACATAGCTTTCTTAGAAGTCATGCTTCTGAAAGAATTTAATATTTAGTTAATCAAATAAATTCCCAAACGAACACAAGTGTTAATCATCACGAAAAAAGTACTTGTCGACTGTCATGGAAAATAGTTTAAAAGTTTTTCTCACGGTTAAAAACTGTTTATTTCAAGTAGTCTAAATAAAAGACTGCTAGAACTTGAGGAGAGATCGTCACGTTGGAGTGGAAGTTCCCTACCCATTCTCTTGTTCTTTTTATGAAAGTACGAACATTTTGAGAGTGAACGAAGAGAACATCTTGCTAAGAATATCAAACATCAGCCTCACATGTCATAAAATATCGTTTAGTTTTAAACTGTGACTGATATCTTATTTATATGTTCAAAGTTCTGGCTTTTAAAAATAATTTACGACCAGTTATATACGTTAACACTTTTGATTCTTTAATCTACTCTGACTGTCAGAAAAAAATCCTTTCTTAAACAGAAAAAACAATAACAGCACATAAATGAAGGGTATAATATAATTTACTTATAAACAACATATAAATGAAGAGTATAATATAATTTACTTATAAACAACACATAAATGAAGAGTATAATATAATTTACTTATAAAGTCTCTTCAAAGAACAAGGAGAGAAGATAGTCATTTAACTCAGTTAGGCTTGTGTTCACAACCTACATGTACATTGGTCTCAATGTACAGAAACCACAGAAAATGTTAAGATATCTATGTAGCATGACAGCCAATCTATTCAAATATGTGGATTGCATGGCAATCTACTCAAACAGCTGGTTGATAAGCAAATTATAGCTACTAGCTATATAACGAAACAAACTGTTTGAATTACAGGATAGTAAAGTTAGCTGGATAATAAGCACACCTATCTATATAGCTATATTGTATGCAAATCTATATACTTAGCTATATAATAACGCATTATACCTATATATCTCAGTAGTAGGGCAATATGGCAGGATAGCTGGATATAAAGCCATTTTTTTTAAAGAGGTACATTGTAGAGTAACCTGCTGAAGAATTTGGCCAGTAAAACAATCTTCAGAGTTAACTGTATAACAAAAGAATATGCTTAGACAGATGGATAGTAAGACAGTCTAACCTAGATATAAAAATAAAACATACTTCAATAAAATTGTTTCTAAAAAGGGGGGGGAGGAGAAATAAGTAATAAAAATCAATTTTACAAAAATTAAATATGATTTAGGGATGGCAACGCCAAAAAGTACAGAAACAATGTAAAGATGAATGCACAAAACCATACAAAAATCCCTACATAAGTAGCTAAATCTTTCCAAGAATAACTTTTATATACAACTAAGTGTTGAATTATTGTCTGTTGCGTGAATTCGGGTTTGAGTAAAAGCATTTAAACTGAATAGTGCTATTTGAGGCTAATAACCATAAGCTTGTAAAATTGACTCAGTACTGGCTACGTATCTAGGGGGTTTTTGTATGGTTTTGTGTATTCATCCCTACATCGTTTCTGTACTTTTAGGCATTGCCATCCCTATATCATACTTATTTTTTGTAAAAATATTTTCATTATTTATTTTCCCTCTTTTTAAAAACAATTTCATTGAATTGGGTTGATAAATGAACATTTGTTTTATTTTTATAATTCAATAGTAATATATATATTGTTAATACCATATCAGCTTTGACAGTTTTTCTCATTTTGGATTACAAAGGGGTTGTTGACTTTTGTAATAGGTTGCCTTCAGATGTTATAGAGACACTAAATTTAAGTGAGTTTAAGAAAAAGCTTGATAAGTATATGAATGATAAGGGCTGGCTTTAATATTTCTTTTTAATTATTTTAATTTAGTTTAGAGGATGGAACAGCTGAGATGGACCAATAGGTCCAATGTTGTCCCAAAACATTATGTTATGTTAAAGTATATTCAATGTGTGTAATCCACATGAACACACGCACAATAGGGTGGGGAACATACACATAGTTGATACGATATTTAAAATATTTTTATTACATTAAACCACACGTCAATAATTATGATCATAAATATACATATTCTACCAAGTTTCGATGTTTAAACCATTACTTTAGCATCACCTACACTGACCTGTTATTCTATATAACGTATAGCATAAAGTTCTGTTACGTATCTGCTTGTTTGTTAATTTCCCGTAGAAATTCTTTCCGA